TTTTTTCTTTTTGCTTATGTGGTGCTGGGGAATCGAACCCAGGGCCTCATGCATGCAAGGCAAGCGCTCTACCACTGAGCCACCTTCCCAGCCCCCTCTGTGAGATTCTTATATCCAACTGACCACCAAAAAGCTGGAAGTGGAACTGTGGCTCAAGTGATAGCATGCCTGCCTTGAGTGAAAAAGCTAAGAGAGAGTGAGAGGCCCTGAGTTCATGCACACACACACACACACAAGTGTATGGAGAAAAAACTCTGGGACCTTGACAGCTGCACCTAGTGTTCCTTCTTGCTGTGGGACAAGTGTACTAAAGGAAGCAGGGGGCTGGGAATGTAGCTGAGTAGTAAGAGTGCTTGCCTAGCCTGCATGAAGCCCTGGGTGCAATTCCTCAGTGCCAAATAAACAGAAAAGGCTGGAAGTGGGGCTGTGGCTCAACTATTAAGAGTGCTAGCCTTGAGGGAAAAAAAATCTCAGAGACAGTGCCCAGGCCCTGAGTTCAAGCCCCAGGAGTGGAAAAAACAATAAAGAAAGAAGAAGAAAAGGAAGCAGGGATGTCTGAATGAGAGGTGGTCCTGGAAGAATGCTTGAAAGCAAAGCACAGATGACTTCAGACTGTCCCTCTGAACAGACACTCCCCTGCTAAGCCCCCTCCTTGCAGGTGTTTATCACGTCATCCCTCCCAACGGTCTTAAGAAGTTAAGAAGTCTTTGTTATCCCAAGAAGGAAACTGAGCCTTGGCCAGGTCCAGCGTCACAGCTCCCAAATGGCGGTCTGGGACTCAAGGCCAACCCTCTCTCCTTCATCCATTAGGAGAGTCTGTCAGTTCACATCCTTAGGAAAAATACTCAGCTCAGGCCAGTGACAGAGTAGCTCCCTTTCCAGCCACTGGGGAACTTTCTCTGTGTGTGTTGGGGGAATGGGGGAAAAGAAAGAGAGAGAGAGAGAGAGACAGAAAGAGAAAGAGAGAGAGAGACAAACAGAGATAGAGACAGAGAGAGACAGAGCGATTGGGGGGAGGATTCTGTCTCCCGTTCAGGGCTCTGACCCAGTCTCCCTCCTGCTTTCTCAGGCCTGAGGAATCTCTGAGAATCTTCTATGGACTTGTGACTAGATCAACACAGACAGCTCTCCCAGGAGACTTGGACCACAGTGAGTACCTTCATGAGGGAAGAGGCAGGCAGCCAACTAGGGGTGTGTCCCTGCCCTGTCTCTCTGCGGCTCTGGCTCCACTTCCCCTTTCACTGCACTCAGGAAACTCACATGACTCTGGGGGGTCACCTTCATTCCCCAGGGGCCATGGCAACAACCACATATATGTGTCTATTCGATTTGTTTATTCTTATCTACCACTTGAGCCACACTTCTACACTACCTTCTTTTTTTTTTAACCATCTTGGTGGGTTTTGTGTGTGTGTGTGTGTGTTGTTGTTGTTGTTTGTTTATTTTTTGTCAGTCATGGGGCTTGAACTCTGGGCCTGGGTGCTGTCCCTCAGCTCTTCAGCTCAAGGCTAGTGCTCTACCACTTGAGCCACAACACCATTTCCGGCTTTTTTTTTCTGCTTATGTGGTGTTGAGGAATCGAACCTAGGGCCTCAAGCATGCAAGGCAAGCTTGCTCTACCACTGAGCCACCTTCCCAGCCCCCAACTTCAGGTTTTCTGAGTGCTTTATTGGAGATAAGAGTCTTACTTTCCTGCCCAGGCTGGCTTTGAACAGCGATCCTCAGATCTCAGCCTCCTGAGTAGCTAGGATCACAGGTGTGAGCCACCAGCGCCCGGCTACCATCTTGTTTTTTAAAAAATATTTTTTGTGGTCCTGGGGATTGAACTCAGGAACTTCAGTTTGCAGTGCCTTCCCACGGAGCCACGCCTCCAGTCCTTCCAGCATTTTTTTTCTGGTTAACTTGAGAGAAGTGTTCTCTCAGATGTATCTCCCTGGGACTGGCATCAGACCTTGGTCCTCAGATCTTAGTCTCCTGAGTAGCCAGGATTACAGGTGTGAAACACCAACCAGCAACTGGCCTAGGATGAATTCTTAAGCAACGGACAGGATTTGTTTGTAAAAACAGCATTTCTCTCTTAAGGCAGGCAGATGGACCTTATCATAAGGGCAGATGCAGATGGATGGGTGGGTGGGTGGATAGACAGATAGATGGATACCATCGATCGATGGATGTCCCCAGTACAGTTGGCAATTAGAACTATGCTCTCATCCTAAGCTTGATCGTGACTTACGTCTCAACTTCAAGTTTCTGGAAGTGTGTGCGGTGACTGCAGCGGTGTTTGTGAAGGAGGCCGTCGGGGCCTGGGGTGGGCAGGCAGGTCGCACGCAGTCCCTAACCCCGGCGCTCTTCCTCTTCCCCCTGGCAGGCCTGGGCGGGCGGCGGCATGCGGCTGCCTCGCGTCTTCTCCTCGGGCACCGTGGTGCCCGCCCTCCTGCTGGGCCAGACCTGCCTGCTGCTCTTCCTGGTCTGGCGGCCGGGCCCTCCATCCCCGGCGGGCGGCCCGGAGCGCGTGCACGTGCTGGTGCTGTCGTCCTGGCGCTCGGGCTCGTCCTTCGTGGGCCAGCTGTTCAGCCAGCACCCGGACGTCTTCTACCTGATGGAGCCCGCCTGGCACGTGTGGGCCGCCCTGTCGCAGGGCAGCGCGGCGGCGCTGCAGATGGCGGTGCGGGACCTGGTGCGCTCCGTCTTCCTGTGCGACATGGACGTGTTCGAGGCCTACCTGCCGTGGCGCCGCAACCTGTCGGACCTGTTCCAGTGGGCGGTGA